ACACTCAGACATTCTAGCAATTAGCTAAAATATTCTCTATTCTCTAAAAAAAAGTATAACAAAACTCTCAGAAACGTGAGCATTCTCCCTTGTTGTTTTGTTGTGTTCGGGTCGATTATTGGATTAAAGTGTGTCTTCATTGCTGTTTTTCTTTAATTGCTTAACCGGTTAGTGACTTTCATATATATTTAATTTTATGTTCTGCATCATTACTTATTTATTTTTATGCATAAGTCCAAACATGGATATTGATAAATAAAAGGAAGCATCTTAATCAGTTTTCTTCTCCTTCTCTATATGTGTGATTGTATATGTGTAATTTGTTGCTCAAATAAATGTATGTATGTCTTATTCTGCCTAGGCATATAAAATAGATATTATTATGCGTGTTTTGTATTGCTTTCTTTCATTTAGCAGGGTATGAAATATTGAGTGCTAATTTGAAGAGTCGCCAGGGATGGAATTTTGGACGGAATTTAGTGTTATTTTTGTTTGTATTTATTATATTTATTTTTCATTCTTGTAATAGTTGTATTAACTCTAACTCTCTCTATATATATGAAATATATTTGGGGGATCGTCTAAAGAGGAAGGGGATATACGTGCTAACTGTTTCCTTTTCTTTTAGCTTAGTTTTATTTTATTATGTGTGGTTGTTATAAATAATATGCCTAGTTACAAGCAAATCGAAATTTCTTAATAATCGGTTTAAAATCAGCATGTCTTTATAACCGTTGTAACTAATAACTCATATTCATCGTGTGTGAAATCTTGGAACTGTTTGGAATCTGATTTGTAGGTCAATATGTTAATTTAGTTTGGTCTGATCATATAATTAAAAGAATTTAAACATGTCAATCAATTAGAAATCATATTTACCATTTTTTATTAATTATCTTGTTATAGAACCATGTTCATAAGGATTAATTGTTTTTATATATTATCTGAGGTTTAGAAATCATGCCTATAAGAGTTGCAATATTTTCAATCTTTCAATCACTTAGAAATCATGTATATAGGTTTATTAATCAATTTTCAACATGTCACTCAATTTGGAATTGTAAATCAATTTTATAAATTAGACTAATTATTTATCTGTTGCAATTTTGATGTGTTTTTTTTTAATTAGTAAATAAGTAATCTCCAACATGTTTAAAATTGAGATAAGTCTGTTATGCATAGTTTGCCACTTAAAATAATCTAGCTGGCTCTAGCATGTTATAAAAAAATAAAATCAACTTATTTGCATATTTCCTGCACTGGTAGTGTCTAAATATTTTCTTCCATGTTTAAGAATTAAATTAGCTTGGTAACAATTTCTGACTAATAGCTGCACTGTTTTAAACTAATCTACCCCGATTAAATCTGCCCGCAATAATTATTTTTTGCATCGCGACGTACTGCTCTTTCCACTTTCAATAAATTAATAAGCAATTCCTGCATGCTTTATTTACTGGTCTGCCCCTGATTACATTCTGATTAAAATAAATAATTTTGCACTATGTCATAACTTTGTGCCCCTTTTAAAATTAATTATTATACTGTTGTGTTGCTTGTTAATGTGTTAGTATGCTCACACACTTAGCATGAGACCTTTCACTAATTATGTGTGTTTGCTAGCATGCTAATAAATTAAAATCTAGAGGCCAATATGAGCTTTTACATGCTAAATATTGTCCAATATGTTTTCTTGGTGTCTAGAGGGCCTAATTAAGAGCCTATATTTTCTTTAGTCTAAAACATTCCTAGTAGTAGTCCAATGCCTCTTGGACATTAAGCGGGGACGCTAGGCACCTTCTAGGACGTTATGCATGCGGAAGGTGGGATAGGGGTAGTTAGGCCGTTTAACGGAGATGATGAAAATCGACTCGAGCTTAAAATAATAAATATTGGTTTTGTCTTTTCGAATAATAAGTCGACCGAATAATAAGCCGAGCGTTGATCCGTAGAAGGGTATTTGTTTAAGTTTTGGAGTCTCCCTTTCCCTTTTTCCCTTTTCTAATTTGTTTGCAATTAAAACTGCTTGGGGTAGTTTAATTTAAAAAATGATTTTCGCCTATCTATTTGTCTACTTTCTATCTTCTCGCTTATTCTCTTAATTTATATCAGTATGTTTAATGTTATTTATTTCCTAGTAAGCATGTTTAATCAAATAATAAATCAATGAAGTGACTTTAATTGCTAATTGTAACCTCCCACATATATTGTATGAGATACGATCGGGAACCACCTTTGTGGACCTAGAGGGATTCTTAACACCTTCCCATCGAGGTAATTTGAACCCTTACCCGATCTCTGGTTCGTTGACATTTAGTTAGATTAGTTAGGTTAGATAGGTTCCCTATCGCGTCTTAATTTGTTAGGTGACGACTCTTCACTTCACCCAAACCCAAAAGAGTTGTTAGGTCGTGCACCAAAACCCGTTTTGCGAAAAATGGGGCGCGACATTAATCATTCAATTATTAAGCTTTTGCATGATTAAATTAGTTTTCCGCTTGTAGTCAGCCAGGATGAGGGTCCGTTTAGGGACCAGTAATGGTTCTTGAGTGTCATCCACGTCTAGGGTGTAAACTCAGGTCGTGACGAACTTGCAGCAGTATTAGTGAGTCTTTATCTCCTCGAGAGCACCACTTATGTTCCCATTTCAGACATTACTTTCAGTTTTCAATTTTGTTAAGAGTTAGCTAGGAGCTTGTCCTAGAAACTCTCTATGATTAGAGGTTTTCATATAGACAGTTAAATTTCTTCTTATGTTCTTATGTGTCAGATTCTTCTATTGATATGATAGTTATTGAGACTTGATTTTGCTTGTCAGTTTATTCTGTTTATGTATAATATCTTAGTGTCATGTGATTAGTTTGGGGTCACTTGTGGCTCTAGGCACTGTCTCGCGTCTAGAGGGTAGTCTTGGGCATGACACCCAGGTAGGTGGTGTCGAGCTTACGGGGTTGGTTAGGTTGTTGTTTGATTATTTTTGGTATGCTTAGATTCATGAGTAGTTAGTAGACTGATTTTATCCTTGACTTTCTTACATGATTACTTTCAGTATATTATGATATTGTCCAGTTATTATATTATCTTTCATACTCTATACATTGTTCGTACTGATGTTTCATTGCTTGGGAGTGTTGCAGTCTTACCTGCATGTTTTAACTGACAGGTACATAGGCCTTCTTAGTAGTTTAGCCAACAGATTGTTCAACTCCACATCTTCCAAAGTTGCCAGATCTAGAGGTTTGCTAATGTTTTGTCATGTTCGGAGCTCTATCTCGACCAAGTATAGTACTTTTAGAGGCTTGTAGATTTGGGTTGTATAAATATGTGTTATCGGTTGTGTTGACCTTGTTATTTTTTCCTTTTAGCATAGTGGTCTATTGGTGTTGATCATATATGATTATATTTGTTCAATTTATATATTTTTAGATATCATGGTGGCCTTGACATATGATTTAGTATGATTTTTTTCTATTAACTGAGCTGATTGCAGCTTTTTCCATAGGGGCCTTGACCCCGAAGACTTATTTTAAAGTAGAGATATACTTGGTTTTTTTTTAGTTTATGGCTGGTATTACGCTGATAGCATAATTATCCAACAAGGGTCGATTTAGGGTCAAGTGTGGCATCAGGTACCCGGTTCATCTCTAAGTTGGGATGTGACATCTTTGCCCCATTTTAAAGATTGTTAACTTTGCACTTTATTTTGATTCTTCGTTTTTTCATTCTTTATTTTTTAAAAAAACTAAATTTACTAATTGAACCACTCCGAGCAAACATCACCACCTATTAAGCTTATTAAAAATGATAAATTCGATAGAATCCATTTGAGTCCTCTCAATTTTTGTCTATCTCGATTTTGAAATGATTTATCAACATCAATTTATTTTTCACAAATGTCTCTACAATCACCCCACTAAGATACTCATGCTTGATACTCCATTCGTTCGAATTTATTTGACAAATTTTGACTTGGCACACCTATTAAGAAATCAATAATTGGTATATTGAGTTTACTATTTTATCTATATTAATTAATAGGGTCTCAAACATATTTACTCACTACATTTTTCAAAGATATTAACTCAATGTTAACAAATTGAGGATATAATAGGAAAAAAATTGTCCTTTTTTGATTTGTCAAAAATGATAAGGAAAAATATAAATCAAACTAAAAAATATTTGACAAGTAGAATCGAATAGAGTGAGTAGTTTTTTTCACTATCTATATTAGACTTAATTCTCTTAGTTTATTATAAGAAGGAAAAGAAATTTTGATCTCACCGAAGGAGTCGAGGATGGCGGGTGACTGGGAAGGAAAAGAAAGGACAAAGGGTTAGGTGGGTGGGTGGATGGGTTTGTTGGGGGTGGGGGTATTTTCTTTTTTCTTTTTTTTGTTGATTAATCTTTTGGATTTTTCATTTTTCAAAATTAAAAATTAATATTTTATAGTTAGATTGGGCCCATGTGGCACATATCATTATTCGTGACTTTTACAAGACAACGTCACACACAACACTTTTAAAGCTAGTAGTCATTGTGTTCAATAGATACATATTCGTTAATTTTAGAGTGTCTAATAGATAGTAATCTAGTTGAGGTGTCTAAGCGAATTCATATAATCATCTCATATTTTTCAAATACAAATATTGACCCACAAACTTATATTTTATAAAAGAAATAGTCTACTATTTTATATCTATATAATTTTTAAGGAAAATACCAAAATAGTGATTAAATTTTCACAAAATATTCACATGATATAATTACTAACAATTTAAAAAATTAAAATTGCATATCCACTTCAATTTTATCTTTGATCTCACCTGATCAAACGGCACTATTTCTGGTGATTCAACAAAAAGAATAGTGCACAAATATTTAATATTTGCTGTTATTTTTATTGTGTTTCTCCTACTTTTAAGTAACACGTGGAGAGTGTTAAATGTTTGATTCACGTTAATATGCTGGACTCTGTAAATCTCAAGAGAGTCCACAGACTTTACAACCCCACTGTGTTGTGTTATGAACACACTCTAACCTAGTAATAATTTTATTTGTAAGTACCAAAAACTTTCTGCAGAAAACTTTTTGAGGAAAAGTTGGGTGTTTGAAAAAGCTTAATTCAGGTACTGAGAAAGCTGTTTATTTTTTTATTATATATATAGAAAAATGCTAGTAGTATATAGTATAGATTCTGAAAAAGTTGTATGATTTGAGTGTTTTCTGATCTAGTTTAATAAAAAAGGGTTTTGGGTAACGTAAATTATTTGATTTTGTTCTGTTGGAATCTATGTATTGATATTTTGGGGTTGCAAGTGTGATATTGAATTTTGTTCTGTTGGAATCTATGAATTGATATTTTGGTACAGGAATCTGGTGCCGTGTAAAATAGTAACCTTTTTGTTAATTGTTTTTGGTACTTCCTGTGTAAAGTTGGAATCTTTTGTTTTTTGTTTTTTAGAATTAATGTACTTGTTTATGTCGTGGGTGACGTGAATAATTGGTAGAGCAATGGATGCGTTGTGTGCTAGTATGAAGGGCACTGCACAATTAGTGGCAATTTGCAACCAAGAGAGTGCATTTTGGGGAGAGAAGATTAGTGGAAGAAGATTGATAAACAAGGGTTTTGGGGTCCGGTCGTGCAAGAGCTTTACAACTCAACAAAGGGGTAGAAATGTTACGTCTGCTGTTCTCACCCGTGATATAAACAAAGAGATGCTGGTAAGTAGAGGAAATTACGTGATAAAGTAAAGTGAATGATCAAGAACAAGATTAATTTGTATTATTCATATTGGTTTCAGCCATTTGAAGAATCAATGTTTGAGGAACAACCAACTGCGGACCCAAAAGCTGTTGCCTCTGTCATTCTAGGTGGTGGTGTTGGAACTCGTCTTTTTCCTCTTACCAGCAGAAGAGCTAAACCAGCTGTAAGAGTTGTCTTTTGAGGTTGACAACATGTCCAATATATATATATATATCTTCTCTTTTATCTTGGTTGTTACTCCATTATGTGTCTTTTGAGGTTGACAACATGTCCAATATATATATATATCTTCTCTTTTATCTTGGTTGTTACTCCATTATGTGTCTTTTGAGGTTGACAACATGTCCAATATATATATATATATCTTCTCTTTTATCTTGGTTGTTACTCCATTATGTGTCTTTTGAGGTTGACAACATGTCCAATATATATATATATATCTTCTCTTTTATCTTGGTTGTTACTCCATTATGTGTCTTTTGAGGTTGACAACATGTCCAATATATATATATATATCTTCTCTTTTATCTTGGTTGTTACTCCATTATGTGTCTTTTGAGGTTGACAACATGTCCAATATATATATATATATCTTCTCTTTTATCTTGGTTGTTACTCCATTATGTGTCTTTTGAGGTTGACAACATGTCCAATATATATATATATATCTTCTCTTTTATCTTGGTTGTTACTCCATTATGTGTCTTTTGAGGTTGACAACATGTCCAATTCATACCAACTTCAGTCTTAAAAATTGTAGTGGTTCTTAAATCCAATTCAGCTAGATTTTTGACGACTAAAGAAAGGACTAGTTAAGCTAAGTGTGGATTCCCTTCTCTGTTCTCACTACAACTAAGCCTTAAGAATGTATTCTCTTATCAGTTTTCATTCAAATTCTGTGACTATTGGCTTTGTTCTTCAGGTTCCAATTGGTGGTTGTTACCGGCTAATTGATGTACCAATGAGTAACTGCATTAACAGTGGCATACGGAAAATTTTCATCTTAACACAGTTCAATTCCTTTTCCCTCAATCGTCACCTTGCCCGCACGTATAATTTTGGAAATGGAGTGGGTTTTGGAGATGGATTTGTGGAGGTAAGATCATTTTGGTTACTTGAAGTTTTTAGTTTGAGCTCTTTTAAGCTACTTATATTTTGACATAGAAGTTTAATCATATCTTTTTAAGAAAACACTTCTATGAGATGCTTGGTGACTGTCTATATTGTAAAAGCTTTGTTAATTTCCTCCCCTCTGGCTCCTTGGATCCTGGGGGAGGTAGATTGAAAAACCTAAAATGGGGAAGATAACTGAAATGTGTCCTCGACAGATAAAAAAGTTTTTCTCAAATGCAGGTTTTAGCTGCAACCCAGACTCCAGGGGATGCAGGAAAAATGTGGTTCCAAGGCACTGCTGATGCTGTGCGGCAATTTATATGGGTATTTGAGGTATGCAAATAAGATCGGTCATTGATAAAGCTCCCTTGGAAAAATGCTGACCTTTTTTAAAAAAAATAATGACATAGAATCAGAAGAACAAGAATGTCGAGCACATAATAATTTTGTCTGGTGACCATCTTTACCGAATGAACTACATGGACTTTGTTCAGGTATATGAGCAACTTATGACAACAATTGCTTCCTACGCCAACCCTGTGTTCATATACTTTGCCTAATGAATAATATTTGTGCTTGCAGAAGCATATTGACACGAATGCTGATATTACAGTTTCATGTGTTCCAATGGACGATGGGTATGAGATTGATCTTTCTTTTAACTTGATAGCTTATTTAATGTGAAGCCAAACACTATTTGCATTGCTTTCTATCTCCCTGAACTCTTTGAAAGGTTCTTCTTAGTGTTGTTCAGAGTGGCAAATGGTGACCACAGTTGTTTCGAATATGAAGGCATATTGAAAATTGAAGTGGCACTTTGTATCTGACATATCAATCTACAGATATAATTGCAAAAGGCCCTATTTCATCATGATTTGTATTAATCCTCAATATGATTTTGGCTTTCAGACCAGGAATTAGAATAAGAGAGAAAATTAGAACTGTAGAAAGCTTGAAATTTTAACTATTTAACTGGACCTGGTATCTTTTTAATCACCATCATCATGGATAGATAGTAATAATGTAGATACATTTTCCCATCTTGCATCCTCATTAACTTCTAAGCACCAGCACTGATTAATATCCACTGAAAGATCTGGAAGCATACAGAGTTTACACTACCAGTTTCCCTTAAGTCTATTTCTGTTATCTGCTTCTAGATTTCAGTCATGTTGTCTATTTAGAATGCACTATAAGAGCTAACAAACATTTTAAGCTCTATCAAGGAGTTAATCAAGACCTTTCTCTTTCTCTGTCTTTTACCCTCTTCCATCCTCTCTTTTGGCAGTCGAGCTTCAGATTTTGGATTGATGAAAATAGATGAAACAGGACGTATCATCCAATTTGCTGAGAAACCCAAAGGCCCTGCTTTGAAGGCAATGGTACATACATTTGGGCTTCCACAGCTGGAACTTTGTAAATTCTTTTTAAATTGGAGTTAGCTATTAACTAATTATCCCCTTACAGCCCCTCTTGCTTTCACATTGTCTCTTCTCCTACATAACTTGCTTTGTATGTCTAATATTATATTGCAGCAAGTTGACACATCTATCCTCGGACTATCTGAGCAAGAGGCGTCCAATTTTCCTTACATTGCATCCATGGGTGTTTATGTATTCAAAACTGATGTTTTACTAAATCTTCTCAAGTCAGCATACCCTTCATGCAATGATTTTGGCTCTGAAATCATCCCTTCTGCTGTGAAGGATCACAATGTCCAGGTAATAGCTGGTGGTAACTTTTTCAATTGCAACTTCTAACCTTTTGAAGTTCACAAATTTTGCTGTTCATTGTATACTTAGATTTTGACTGATTGATTTTATTAGGCATATTTGTTTAATGATTACTGGGAGGATATTGGAACAGTGAAGTCTTTCTTTGATGCCAACTTGGCCCTCACAAAGCAGGTGAGCACCTTAATGTTTACTACCATCTAACTACTTCTACTATTACTCAAAGTAAGAGCTAGACGGTCGATGCAAGGACTCTGAAATATGTAGCAGTATTTTAAGTAATCCTCAGCGAATTTGATAGTTATTTTTTTTTGTTTACCATAATCTCCACCTTCAGTTATTGATTAATAACTTGTTACTAAATTGCATTTTTCCTCTTTTTTCCCTGTTTCATGTAGCCTCCAAAGTTTGACTTCAATGACCCGAAGACCCCGTTCTACACTTCTGCTAGGTTCTTACCTCCTACAAAAGTTGACAAAAGCAGGGTATGCAAGTTAACATAAATACTTGTAGTAAAAATTTCCAGGATTGCAGGGTACTATGAACTTGTCATGTTAATGCTGTTCATTGTCAGATAGTGGATGCAATAATTTCACATGGTTGCTTTCTGAGGGAATGCAACATCCAGCACTCTATAGTTGGTGTACGATCACGCTTAGACTATGGTGTTGAGTTTAAGGTATGTTTTCATATTCTCATTGAAAGCTTTTCTTATCTGTTTTTAGGTGGAGAGTTCTATGAGCTAGGGCTTGGACTAAATTAAAAACGACATCCTGCATTCATCTGATGCATTCTGACAACTTAGAAACCTAGATGACAGACGTGTAAGGCACATAACAGTTGCCATCTATCCTGTGAATGTGCAATCAAACTAGTTGTAGGAAGGATGATTTACAGTTTTGATTTCTTTCTGCAAATAAGCTGGTAAGATGTACTCTAGGTATGGACTTTAGCATAGTAGAGTAATGAACAACAAGCATGATCTTAGCACTCAGGTGCTTTCTTCATAAACAGCTATTTGGTGCTTACTTGTTTATAGGCTGAATGTGTCTTCACTTCTCAGGATACCATGATGATGGGTGCAGATTATTATCAAACTGAATCTGAGATTGCTTCACTACTAGCAGAAGGAAAGGTTCCAATAGGAGTCGGGCCAAACACCAAGATACAGTAAGATTTTCTACTGAACTCATACTCACTTCTCACACTTGTTGATTGAAAATTGACCACTCAGACTTCCATTTTGAATGACCAGCTTGAAAACTTTGAGCTCTGGTCCTCTGATTAGTGTATCATTATTCATTTCAATGTAGTTTACAGTTCTTTGCCCAAACTTTAACAAGGTTACATTGAGAGGACTTTGACATGCTTTTCTTTCTATTTTCTTGAAGAAATTGCATAATTGACAAGAATGCAAAGATAGGAAAAGATGTGGTTATTCTGAACAAGGAAGTAAGTATCTTTCTTTTGAAGTATGAAATCATCACGGAAGTTAATACTAGTTTAACTGATTCTTGGATGTTGTTTCAGGGTGTTGAAGAAGCTGATAGGTCAGCAGAAGGATTTTACATTAGGTCCGGGATTACCGTCATAATGAAGAATGCAACCATTAAAGATGGGACAGTCATATGAAAACTTGCTTAGTGTTCTTGCTAGTTGATCCTGGAAGGAAATAAAAAAGTAGGCTGGTATGGTCTAGTGATGATGAATGTGCTACTAAGGTTTTTCTGACATTGTTTACTTTCTACCTATGACATATTCACTTTCTTGGACTTGATGAAACACATTTCCAAGTGAACCTCAGTCCTCCATCTTTAAGTTTTCAGCTGGCAGCAGCTTGGTGAGAGGCTTTTGCTGCCTCGCTTCAGTTTCCACCATTTGCAGAGGGGGTGTGACAAAGGGTTTGCTGGAAAATGATATTGTATATATAGGTTAGATATTACTTTTTATACTTGGTATGTTAACTATTGAACACTAAGGTGTTGTTTGGTACAAAGATTAATAACGTGTGGATTAGTAATGCATGGACTAGTAATGTCAGGTTTATTTTTTATCAAGTGAATGGTTCATTGATTCTCATTTAATCTTGTGTTTGGATTGAAACTTTACAAAAAGCTTCTTTCTAATTATATTCTTGAATTATTATGAGATTTTCTATTTTATGTAAGAGGGTCAAGCTATATAATTGTTAGATAATATTATTGTTTTTGTGGCCTTCTAATTAGCTAGGAGAAGAATAATTTCGTGATCATGTTTGCTTTTTTCTTACTTGAATTATTTGAGAGTAAATAATTGTCATTTTAATAAATTTATCACTCATAAACCATCAATTTTCAATTTAAAAAAGATAGTCCATCTACGTTTACAATTGAAAAAATCATCTACGTTTACACATAAAAAATGTAAGTTGTAGTTTTAATATGTATGCAATTTTATAAATTGTTCAAAATACAAATAATTAGAAAATCAAATATATATCAACAAAATAATGCATTCAATTAAGATCACAAACGTCATGTTGTGGTATATTTGTTTTTTCAATTAGTAAATGTTAAACAACTCACATTTCAAATATTGTGTTGATTTGTATTGAATTTATTTTGCAACAAACAAATCTCTCTCTCTCTAAATAATAAAATTTGTAAGCTAATTTATTTAGATAAATTTACTAGTACAAATATAAAATTTAAAATCAAGAAAAAATAAAATGATTAAAAGGATTTGTGGTTTTTTTGTTTTTACATAGATTAATTAATTTCATGGTATTAAATCATATGTATTACTGTATTACTAATACCATCAAATTGAAGGTATTAATTATATATCCTATAATGTCATGTAGGGTGTATAACATAGGCCTAAAATTCCTACCAAAAATAATATCATATACAATACATAGATTATTTTTCATAATACTTCCTGCCAAACGACCTCTGAGATACTTCTTGTTTCTTCTATTGAGGGGCTCTAACTGAAGATCATCTCATAGCTATCACCGATTAATAACTGGCACAACAGGGGTATGCTCATTTTCTTGTTAAAAATAAGGTGTGCGAAAATCGAATTAATCAATAAATCGAATCGAAAAAATATGTTATTGATTTATTACTATTGAGTTAATGGGTTTTAATGATTTTATTAAAAAAATATCGAGTTTTGGTTCGGTTTAAATTTTTTAATATTGGGTTATTGGATAAATCGATAACCTATAAAGACTATAGTAATTTATTACTTTACCCCTATATAAATATTAAATATTAATCTTAGTACTTTATTGATTACTGTCGTTGTCCTTAAGCCTTCAATTCACACTTCAGTCTTCACAATGACTTTGAGTTCACAACTTCACATTATACAAAACATTAAAACCTAAAGTAAGAATCATATTCCTCTTAATTTATCTTAGTGTTGCACTTGTATATCTCTGTTCATGATGGTTATTATTGTTTCTACTTTATGAGTGTTTTTAAAAAGTTACATTATTGTCTTGTCGCATCAAATTATTAGAGAAGTCATATATTCATTTTATAAGCATTTTTATTGGTTAAATCAAAAATCGAATCGTGAAGGATCAAAACAGATAAATCGATAAAAAATATCTTATTTATTTGGTTATAAGTTTAGCGTATATAAAAATTGAGAATTGACAATATATAAAATATGTCACGGTCCAAGATAGCCCTTAGGCATAACATGGCGTATAAGACCCCGAGAGGCCCCATATAAGTCACTTCGCATTCATCATACAAAATAATAGAATAAAATGATTTACAAGACAGGTTCAACATATAAAAGCTTTATATAGAAAAGCGGAAATCTAAACATCGTCTCAAAGCCATCTAGTACAAAAAATTGACCGGGGCGTAGCCTGTACATCAAGTTTAAAACCTGAAAGTAAAAACCAAAAAGGCAAATCAAGTTCGGTCCTCGGAATATGAGGACTCACTAATCTTCAATCTTCTATGTGAAATCCCAGCCACAGAAGTGTGAATTTGTAAGGTCGGGTCCTACATTTGGGGAAATGTAGGCAAGAGTATGTGCTAGTACAAATATGTACCAAGTATGATAGTCATGCATAAAACGTTTGAAAACATGCTTAAAAGGGGATATCTTCATGATATGCAATGACCAAGCTAAAACATGATATAAAAAGGCTAGAAGACACAAGTCATAAAATATGGTCAATACAATTAGACATTATCTTAAAACACATGTGAGATACTTCTAACCTTAGTTCATTATTGTAGGAAATTTACCTTTAACCGACATATAAGACCATGTGAGCTATCAACACGGAATCCGGTGTCTACCCCACACCGAAAAGGGGTGTCCTACTTGCCAAGGTACGACCATGAACTTCTAGCTTATGTGGATCCACTAGCTAATATCGATCTAAGACAATCACCCTATGGGGGCACATAGGTATGAGATAAGGAGATTACTACTAGAAATCCGGCCTCTACTAACGGGAGAGCTTCCATCCCAATATCCTCTCGGTGCTAAGCGTAAATCTCACGGAATAGTCATTTTCTTAACTTGTCTTTATTATCCATGGAAGGGAACGTACGTCATCTAGTCAATCCAAGCTAAGTCATATGTCATCCATGGAAAGGTACAATTAAGTAACTAATTCAAGCTAAGTTTCTTTAGGATAGCTTCTTGACTTTGATTCATTTTAGGTGAGAAGACCTTTCAACCTTAAAATCATTTATGTGAGAAAACCTTTCACATTCATGCATGAGGTAGTTATGTGAGCAATCCTTTCACAATAATTAACCACAACAACAACATATATGTTTTTACTTTCAAAGCAATCTACGTCATATCTCATCAATTCCATAATTCACCTTTCATAGTTCAAAACTCACTTTCAATCATCAATAACTAGAAAACATGGGTTAAGCATGAGTTCATGGAGATTTATCTTAAAATCATGAGATTATATCAATTCATGCATAAAATTTCATAAATCAATTAAATAAATCAACATTTAAAGGAACCCATGACATGGAAGAAAATTCCTAACTTAATTGGGGAATTCTAACTTTGTAAATTGGAGAATATAGGAACTCCATGGAGGAAAGGGCTCCATGGATGAAAATTATCATACATCAATGCCAAAAGCTTGCCTTTAATGATAGAATCGGAGGATTGACTTGAAACCCTAGGTTGACTCCTTCTTCTTCAAGCTTTCTAGAGAGAATTATTTTGGGGAGGAAGACTTATTCTTCTTTTAGGAAATTGAGAGAATGATTTATATTGGGGAAATTTGGGGTCAAAAACACTTATATAGGATCTCTAGGTAAGGGTAAAACGGCATCGTGATAGGCTAGAATAATTTTAAAAAAATACCCAAAAGCCCTGACTTAAAGCTGACGCAACCACCAGACGACGGTGGCCTTCAGGAGCCGTCAAGGACCTCACGAGCCGTTGTGGCAGCCATGGTCCTTGGGAGAGGCCTCCTGCTGCCTTGCCCCTTCACGACCACCTTTACCGGTCGTTTTCCTCTTCATGACCGGTCTAGGGGTTCGTGGGAGGAGGCTAACTTTGGGGTAGGTTCTGCCTCCCCCCACACGGGCGTTACTACGACCCGTCCGCCTCCCCACGGGCCGTTAAGGCCCTCGTGGGAGGGGTCCTTGCTCAGCATGTCTTGGGGGACTTGCCACGGGCCACCACATGGACCGTGGTCCCTTTCACGGCCCGTCTAGAGCTCCGTGGAGGGTCCATGATCCAGGTGTTGATCTGTGAGTTCTTCCCCATTACCCATTTTTAGGCCTTTCTCGAATCTGAGGTGTTACAAAATGAAACCAAACCGATCAATTCATAATCCTATTAAGGACAATCAACATCATGACTAAAAAATGTTTTCCTGCTAAATACTACGAATAAAAACTTGCCTGAATCCGATAACATGTGTCAGATCATATACTTACTTGTAACGGTTGACATATTACTTGGCCATAATTAAAAGATTAACTTTATATAAAGACATATATTATGCTCTTATTGCTTTGCCTACTTTATTTTTCATTCTTTCACAAAGCTTGAGAAGTTTAAAGCTGCTTAAAGCGCAAATAAGGGAATACTAACATTTAGTTTAGATTAAAGCAGATTTATTAGTCATAACTGTGGGAATTTAAGGAAAAAGTTTTAAATTTCACAGGCATTATTGTAGCGTTATGCACAAAATGATGGATCACTAGTTAGATGAATATGTGTAGCTTCTCATCTTCAGTCGATTGTTGTTGGATTTCACTTTGTTGTTAAAAAAATGGGAAAATAAGAAGAAAAAAATGTCTATTGAATCAAAAACAATTACCCTAAGTAACTCATTTATCAATTATTTTCTACAATGTCATTTGAACAAGTTTTCCTACAGGCAAAATACACTTCTGTAACCTTTTCTTCTTCCTCGATGAATTGTCATGCCTTTAGCCTACACTCAGAGCGTGGTTGATACTCAAAATCATTTCTGATTTTGAACGAACCCTTGATTTGGCTTATTACTATACTGAAAGCTATAATTACTATGCGTAAGCTTTTAAAAGATAAACATGCAATAACTTTGAAAAACAAACTCAATAATGTTATAGATAAAAAGTCTAAATCATAAAGATATTTGTAAAACAATAAGGCTATAAATCTATGGAATCCTTAATGTATGAAAGATAGGTGTCTGACAAGAGACAAATATCATTTATAAACTAAGTTTTTATTTAATTTTAATAGTAACATTTTTATTTTTCTTTGCAGAAAATGCCACAATTTGATAAGAAAACATCAACTAAGGAGATATACGGCAAAGGAAATACAAGTACTAATTTACAAGAAAAAATCCAACACAAATAAAGATAATAAAAAATTATATAAGAGAGGAACAAGAAGTAGTTATAAATATGGAAAAAGAATTGGGTAAATCTTTCTTGGCGTGGGGCCCACAAGCTGAAAGAGGAAAGAAACATCAAAGAAGAAAGAAATGAAAGAAAGATGGAGAACAATACTCTCACTGTCCCATATTATATGTTTCCTCTTTCTAAAAATAGGTGGATCACAAT